CCCGCATGCGTCACCCACACCCATTTCGGCACACCCCTCACACGTTTCGTGGCTCCATAGGGAGCTCCACCGAAGGCCCCAGTGCCCGCGCCCGCATGCGTCACCCACACCCATTTCGGCACACCCCTCACACGCTTCGTGGCTCCATAGGGAGCTCCGCCGAAGGCCCCAGTGCCCGGCACCACCGTGCCCGCGCCGTCATGCGTCACCCACACCCATTTCGGCACACCCCTCACACGTTTCGTGGCTCCATAGGGAGCTCAATCGAAGGCCCCAGTGCCCGCGCCCACAGGCGTCACCCACACCCATTTCGGCACGCCCCTCACACGCTTCGTGGCCCCATAGGGAGCTCCACCGAAGGCCCCAGTGCCCGCGACCGCATGCGTCACCCACACCCATTTCGGCACACCCCTCACACGTTTCGCGTCAGTCTACACCCTATTTCGGCACACCCCTCACACTTTTTTTTCGTGGCTTTGCTAGGGAGCTCCACCGAAGGCCCCAGTGCCCGCGCCCGCTTGCGTCACCCACACCCATTTCGGCACACCCCTCACACGTTTCGTGGCTCCATAGGGAGCTCAACCGAAGGCCCCAGTGCCCGCGCCCACATGCGTCACCCACACCCATTTCGGCACACCCCTCAAACGTTTCGTGGCTGCATAGGGAGCTCCACCGAAGGCCCCAGTGCTGCCGCCCGCATGCGTCACGCACACCCAAATTCGGCACACCCCTCACACGTTTCGTGGCCCCATAGGGAGCTCCACCGAAGACCCCAGTGGCGGCGCTCACATGCGCATGCGTCCCGCACACCCATTTCGGCACATCCCTGACAGGTTTCGTGGCCCCATCATCCACCGGAGGCCCCGGTGGCGGCGCTCACATGCGTCACCCACACCCACCCAATTCGGCACACCCCTCACACGTTTCGTGGCCCCATAGAGAGCTCCACCGAAGGCCCCAGCGGCCGCGCTCACATGCGTCCCCGCCACCCATCCCGGTACGCCCCTCACAACAACAGGTTTCGTGGCCCCATGGGGAGCTCCACCGAAGGCCCCAGTGCTGACGCCCGCATGCGTCACGCACACCCAAGTCGGCACGCCCCTCACACGTTTCGTGGCTCCATAGGGAGCTCCGCCGAAGGCCCCAGTGCCCGCGCCCGCATGCGTCCCGCACACCCAATTCGGCACACCCCTCACACGTTTCGTGGCCCCAAAGGAAGCTCCACCGAAGGCCCCAGTGCTGCCGCCCGCATGCGTCACGCACACCCCAGTCGGCACGCCCCTCACACGTTTCGTGGCCCCATAGGGAGCTCCACCGAAGGCTCCAGTGGCGGCGCTGACCGCTGACATGCGCATGCGTCCCGCACACCCATTTCGGCACATCCCTGACACGTTTCGTGGCCCCATCATCCACCGGAGGCCCCAGTGGCGGCGCCCACATGCGTCACCCACTCCCACCCAATTCGGCACACCCCTCACACGTTTCGTGGCCCCATAGGGAGCTCCACCGAAGGCCCCAGCGGCCGCGCTCACATGCGTCCCCGCCACCCATCCCGGCACGCCCCTCACAACAACAGGTTTCGTGGCCCCATGGGGAGCTCCACCGAAGGCCCCAGTGCTGCCGCCCGCATGCGTCACCACCCGCACCCAATTCGGCACACCCCTCACACGTTTCGTGGCCCCATAGAGAGCTGCACCGAAGGCCCCAGCGGCGGCGCTCACATGCGTCCCCGCCACACATCCCAGTACACCCCTCACGCGCTTCGTGGCCCCATAGGGAGCTCCACCGAAGGCCCCAGTAGCGGCGCTTACATGCGTCTCCGCCACCCATCCCGGCCCCCCCCCCGCAGCAGCATCATGTTTCGGGGACCCATAGGGAGCTCCACTGGAGGCCCCAGTGGCGGCCCGCACATGCGTTTCCGCCACCCATGTCGGCACGCCCCGCGCGTGTTTCATGTCCCCATAGGGAGCTTCGCCGAATGCCCCAGTGGCACCCATCTCGGCACACCCCTCACACGTTCCGTAATCCTATGGGGAGTTCCATTGAAGATGAAACCCGCAGCTGCGGTACTGACAACTGCACATGGTTGGGTTCTTCACCAGGCTAATTTTGTTGTTTTTCCCAACCATCCTGTGGTGTTGGGTCCTCGTTTTGAAGAGACGGTCCCCGCGTCCTCCTCTCCTCTCCTCTCCTCCTCTCCTCTCCTCCTCTCCTCCTCTCCTCTTCACCCACCCAGTACACCGTTTCGTGGCCCCATATGGAGCTCCGCCGAAGGCCCCAGTGCTGCCGCCCGCATGCGTCACCCACACCCAATTCGGCACACCCCCCACACGTTTCGTGGCCCCATAGGGAGCCCCACCGAAGGCCCCAGTGCTGCCGCCCGCATGCGTCACCCACGCAATTTCGGCATGCGTCACCCACACCCAATTCGGCACACCCCCCACACGTTTCGTGGCCCCATAGGGAGCCCCACCGAAGGCACCAGTACTGCCGCCTGCATGCGTCACCCACACCCAATTCGGCACACCCCTCACACGTTTCGAGGCCCCATAGGGAGCCCCACCGAAGGCCCCAGTGCTGCCGCCCGCATGCGTCACCCACACCCAATTCGGCACACCCCCACACGTTTCGTGGCCCCATAGGGAGCCCACCGAAGGCCCCAGTGCTGCCGCCCGCATGCGTCACCCACACCCAATTCGGCACACCCCTCACACGTTTCGTGGCCCCATAGGGAGCCCACCGAAGGCCCCAGTGCTGCCGCCCGCATGCGTCCCGCACACCCAATTCGGCACACCCCTCACACGTTTCGTGGCCCCATAGGGAGCCCCACCGAAGGCCCCAGTGCTGCCGCCCGCATGCGCCCCGCACGCCCAATTCGGCACACCCCTCACACGTTTCGTGGCCCCATAGGGAGCCCCGCCGAAGGCCCCAGTGCTGCCGCCCGCATGCGTCCCGCACACCCAATTCGGCACACCCCTCACACGTTTCGTGGCCCCATAGGGAGCCCCACCGAAGGCCCCAGTGCTGCCGCCCGCATGCGTCCCGCACACCCAATTCGGCACACCCCTCACACGTTTCGTGGCCCCATAGGGAGCCCCACAGAAGGCCCCAGTGCTGCCGCCCGCATGCGTCCCGCACACCCAATTCGGCACACCCCTCACACGTTTCGTGGCCCCATAGGGAGCTCCACCGAAGGCCCCAGTGCTGCCGCCCGCATGCGTCACGCACACCCAATTCGGCACACCCCTCACACGTTTCGTGGCCCCATAGGGAGCTCCACCGAAGGCCCCAGTGGCGGCGCTCACATGCGCATGCGTCCCGCACACCCATTTCGGCACATCCCTGACAGGTTTCGTGGCCCCATCATCCACCGGAGGCCCCAGTGGCGGCGCTCACATGCGTCACCCACACCCACCCAATTCGGCACACCCCTCACACGTTTCGTGGCCCCATAGGGAGCTCCACCGAAGGCCCCAGCGGCCGCGCTCACATGGGGCCACCCACCCGCGGCACATGCGTCCCCGCCACCCATCCCGGCACGCCCCTCACAACAACAGGTTTCGTGGCCCCATAGGGAGCTCCACCGAAGGCCCCAGTGGCACCGCCCGCATGCGTCACCACCCGCACCCAATTCGGCACACCCCTCACACGTTTCGTGGCCCCATAGAGAGCTGCACCGAAGGCCCCAGTGGCGGCGCTCACATGCGTCCCCGCCACACATCCCAGTACACCCCTCACGCGCTTCGTGGCCCCATAGGGAGCTCCACCGAAGGCCCCAGTAGCGGCGCTTACATGCGTCTCCGCCACCCATCCCGGCCCCCCCCCGCAGCAGCATCATGTTTCGGGGACCCATAGGGAGCTCCACTGGAGGCCCCAGTGGCGGCCCGCACATGCGTTTCCGCCACCCATGTCGGCACGCCCCGCGCGTGTTTCATGTCCCCATAGGGAGCTTCGCCGAATGCCCCAGTGGCACCCATCTCGGCACACCCCTCACACGTTCCGTAGTCCTATGGGGAGTTCCATTGAAGATGAAACCCGCAGCTGCGGTACTGACAACTGCATATGGTTGGGTTCTTCGCCAGGCTATTTTTTTATTATTTTGTGTGTGTGTGTGTGTGTGTGTGTGTGTGTGTGGAGGCGAAGCAAACAGCTAGATTCTGGGGGAAGGAGGAAGAGGAACAAACAGGAGGAACATGATGAGTAGGACAAGGGAGAAAACGAAGGAGAGGAGAAGCATATTCATGAGGATGGAGAAGAGGAACAATGTTCGAATACTTCACGAACAACTATACGACAACATTTTTCGAAAGGCGAAGGACTCTACAATCCTTCGTTCTCCCGTTCTCCCCCTCTTCCTCCTTTTCCTCCTCCTCTTCCTCCTCCTCCTTCCTCCTCCATCCTCCCTCCGCCTCCTCCTTCCGCCTCCTCCGTCCTCCTTCTCCTCCTCCTCCTCCTCCTCCTCCTCCTCCCTCCTCCTCCTCCTCCTGCTCCTCCTCCTCCTCCTTCTCCTTCCCCTCCTCCTCCTTGTCCTCCTCCTCCTTCGCCTCCTCTTCCTCCTCCTCCTCCATTCCCTCCTGCCTCCTGCCTGTTTCCTTCTCCCTCCGCCTCCTCCCTTCGCCTCCTCCCTCTTCCTTCCCCTCCTCCTCCGCCTCCTCCTTCGCCTCCTCCTCCTCGTCCTCCTCCTTCGCCTCCTCCTCCTCCTCATCCTCCTCCTCCTCCGCCTCCTCCTTCTCTCCATCCTGCCTCCTGTCTGCTCACTTCTCCCTCCGCCTCCCTCCGCCTCCTGCCTCTTCCTTCCCCTCCTCCTCCTCCGCCTCCTCCTCCTCCTCCTCTTTCTCCTCTTCCTCCTCCTCCTCCTCCTCCTCCTCCTCCTCCTCCTCCTCCTCCTCCTCCTCCTCCTCCTCCTCCTCCTCCTCCCCCCCCTGACCTCCTCGATGCGCGCTGTGCTCCTCCGCTGTCCGCCGCCCTGTCGCTGGGTGCCCTCCCCCCCTGCGGCGCAGGAGTGCTGCATCAGCTCCGACGACATCTTCTGGCAGAAGAAGGCGCGGCTGACCCCCGCGCGCGGCGGGGCTGGCCGTTTGCCGTTTTTGCGGGCAGGCTGGCTGCTTGTTTGGCTGTGGGTGGTTGGCTGGCTTGTGCGAGTGGTCTGTCTGCATGGATGGTCGGAATGAGCTGTGGGTGCGTGTTGTCGGAGGGGTTGGCCGCCCAGGCTGGGTGGTCTGATTGCGAGCGCGTCGTACGGATGAGTCAGTCGGCCTATGCGCCGTCGTAACCAATTATCTCGCCCTGTGCCCCAGCCGCGCCCACCCCGCTTCTGGGACTTTTCCTTGGAGCCGTCCATCAAAAACTATCCCCACCAGCCCATCCAGAAACAGATCGCCAGGCGAGTTGCCTCGAACAGGGAAGTGCAGAATCATGCTGTGTAACAGCCGCCTTGGAAGTGTTTCTCGGAGGTCTCTTGCAGCCGTCTTGGATCTCTGTCGGGGTCCTCGCGGAGCCACTTGGGGAACGATTGGGGCCCTCTTGGTGCTCTTTGGGGTCTAGGGGCCCTCTTGGGGCTCTTTGGGGGGGTATGGGGAGCCTCTTGGGGCCGTCTTGGGCCCCATGGCTCAAAAAGAGGGGGGGGAGTTAAATTCAGCCCCACCCCCTCGGAGGCTTACAAATGATGTCTTGAGGCCCTCTCGGTGCGCTCTTGGGACGCTCTTGGGGCCCTCTTGGGGCCCTCTTGGGCCCCTCTTGCCTCCTGGGGCTTTCTTGGGCCGCCTTGGGGCCATCATGAGGCCTCAAGAGCCCATGGGAAGCGACACGGCGAGAAGGCACACAGCATTGACTTCCCCGAGGCATTTGAAGGATTTTGGCCTCTGGGGATGAGGGGTCCTTGGAGGGCTCGGAGGGCACTTGAAACCATCTTGCGGCCGTCTTGAGGCCTCTTGGATGTGTGTCGGAGGCTATCTTGAAACATCTTGAGGTATCTCGAGCCATCTTGGAGGCCATCTTGGGCTCTCAGAGGCCCCCCCCAAGGGGGCCCGAGACGTATTAAGACGGCCTCAAGAGCCTCCCCAGAGTCCAGGACCACCAGCCAGACTCCATCAGGCCCCCACGACGCCCCCAAATGCGCCCCAAGGAACCTACCAGAGGCCTTCAACAGGCTTCCAGTAGGGTCCCCGATGGCTTCCCAAGAGTCCCCAAGAAACCTCCCTCAAAACCTTGGTCACCATCGATCCTCGAACAAGTGGCACGCGTGCCCTGGCTCTTGCACCAAGGAGCTGCGAGGGACGACGAACATGGGGAGGCCGGGGGGGGGAGGACGACGAAAGGGAAGCCAGGGGGGTGAGAGCGAGGGAGCTGGGTCCAGGGAGTGGGTTAGGGAGGCCAGGGGGGTGGCGAGAGCGAGGGGAGCTGGGGAGGGCTGGGTCCAGGGCAAGGCTAGGACTGCCAGGACTGCCAGGAGGGAGGACGAACGACGAAGGAACGAACGAACGACGACGACGAAATTAAAGAGGTCCGAGCTCTCTCCTCCCTCCCCCATTCATCCCCTCTCCCTTTCTCACTCCAGTTTTGCTGGACTTCGGCTGTGTTTTGTTTTTCGCTTTGGCAGGGAGGTACAGAAAAACATGTGGAGCAGATCGAAAAGCAAGACGAGAACGAAACGAACAACAACGTTCAGGTCCAGCCCTGTTGGACCCGAAGGGTGGGGCTTCATGATGGCCGTTCTGGCCCGCGCGGGGGGCAGCCTTCGTTGCCTCCAGGCTCGGCCCCCTGCCCGTGGCCGCGCTCGCGGACGGGAGGATCACCTCGGCCGGCCTCAGCGGCCCCCCCCCCCGCTCCAGGAGCGTGGCGCGCCAAACCCCCGAGAGGCGCCTCCGACGGCCTCCGAGGCGGACGAGCCCCGAGAGACCCCTTTCACTCTGAGCTTCGGTCGGGCATGTCCCTCTACAGGAGGAGTGCTCAGAAACGGTCCAGCATAGTCCTGGGACGGTTTTTTCTACATAACTATTTCTGACCATCTTGGAGCATTTCCCAACCATCCTGTGGGGGTTGGGTCCTCGTTTTGAAGAGACGGTCCCCGCGTTCCTCCTTTCTTCCTTCCTTCCTTCCTTCCTCACTCCTCCTCCCCCTCCTCCCTCCTTGCGTTTCACCCACCCAGTACAGCGTTTTGTGGCCCCATAGGGAGCTCCACCGAAGGCGCCAGTGCCACCGCCCGCATGCGTCTCCCACGCACGTTTCGGCACACCCCTCGCGCGTTTCGTGGCCCCATAGGGAGCTCCACCGAAGGCCCCAGTGCCACCGCCCGCATGCGTTACCCACGCACGTTTCGGCACACCCCTCACGCGTTTCGTGGCCTCATAGGGAGCTCCATCGAAGGCGCCAGTGGCTGCGTTCGCATGCGCCCACCGCGACCATTTCGGCACGGCCCCTCACACGTTTCGTAATCCCATAGGGAGCTCCACCGAAGGCCCCAGTGCCACCGCCCGCATGCATTATCCACACCCATTTCGGCACACCCCTCACACGTTTCGTGGCCCCATGGGGAGCTCGACCGCAGGCCCCAGTGCGACCGCCCGCATGCGTTACCCACACCCATTTCGGCACACCCCTCACACGTTTCGTGGCCCCCTGGGGAGCTCCACCGAAGGGCTGTGGCACACCGCGCCCCAGTCCACCGCCCCAGTGCCGCCCGCATGCGTTACCCACACCCATATCGGTACACCCCTCACACGTTTCGTGGCCCCATATGGAGCTCCACCGAAGGCCCCAGTGCCACCGCCTGCATGCGTTTTTCGGCACACCCCTCACACGTTTCGTGGCCCCCTGGGGAGCTCCACCGAAGGCCCCAGTGCCACCGCCCGCATGCGTTACCCACACCCATTTCGGCACACCCCTCACACGTTTCGTGGCCCCCTGGGGAGCTCCACCGAAGGCCCCAGTGCCACCGCCCGCATGCATTATCCACACCCATTTCGGCACACCCCTCACACGTTTCGTGGCCCCATAGGGAGCTCCACCGAAGACCCCAGTGCCACCGCCCGCATGCATTACCCGCACCTATTTCGGCACACCCCTCACGCGTTTCGTGGCGCCATAGGGAGCTCCACCGAAGGCCCCAGTGCCACCGCCCGCATGCGTTACCCACACCCATTTCGGCACACCCCTCGCGCGTTTCGTGGCCCCGTAGGGAGCTCCACCGAAGGCGCCAGTGGCTGCGTTCGCATGCGCCCACCGCGACCATTTCGGCACGGCCCCATTGGCTGCGTTCGCAGGCGCCCACCGCACCTATTTCGGCACACCCCTCACACGTTTCGTGGCCCCATAGGTAATTCCACCGACGGCCCAAGTGGCTGCTTTTGTATGCGCCCACTGGACAATTTTTGGCACACCCCTCACACGTTTCGTGGCCCCATAGGGAGCTCCTCCGAATGCGGTGCATACAACGAGGGTGCCCACAACTGCATATGGTTGGGTCCTTCGCCAGGCTAATTTTTTGATATTTTTAATTATTCTTCCAAGCTCCGCCTGTAGGAGGACATGCCCGACCTAACTCTAAGCTGGCCCACTCCATGGTCGACATCAGCCCGCGCCGGCCCTGGCTCGATAGTTCGAGAAGGTTCCCAGCGATCACCTCCCTGCACCCGCGTGTGGCCCCCAAGGGTCCGTTGGGCTCCCTGGGGTTGGATGATTTTGGGATTCCACATTGGCCTGCGCCAGATGGCTTCACGAACGCCTCGCAGGACGCTCAGACAGGCCAAGGGGCCAGGGGGCCCCTTGCGGTTGTTCGGAAGCCTCCTCGAAGGAGGCCGGAACCTTGCGCGCAATTCATTTCTCCTGCAGCTCCCTCCCCCCCATCCTTTATCCCAAGCTACCGGGGGAGATGCCGATGTGGCCTTGCAGAGCGCTTGCGGTCTTCAATGTAACTTGGTCTAGCCCCATGTGTCTGACTATGGTCTGAGTCTCATCTGCGTGGGATACTTGCACGTTGATACGCATCCAGCCTGCTGTATGTATCGCGCGTGCTTGTTTTGTGCTGTCTGTCTGTCGGTCCGTCGGTCTGCCTGTTTGTCGCAGCCTGTATCGCGCCTGTTTTGTACATGTCTTCCGCGTCACCCGCGCCGATACTATTGAACGGCCACCGTGTGGCCACGGTCGGAGAAAGCTGCTCCTCTTCCTTCATGTCCGTCTCCTCCACCTCTACCTTCGCCTCCTCATCCCTATCCTTGCCAGGTTGCCCGAATGCTAAGGGCTCTGCGCAGAGAGCAGTACAGGTCAGCACGGCCACGAGGAAACGGGTCAGGATTTAGACGTCTTGCGAAATGCCAGCGGATGCAGGCCCAGGACACGAGGACGGGAACTGCAGCCATCATATACGAAAATCCATAGCCGAGGGTTGATGGTAGGCTGCATGCAGTCTCGTCCCTATGCTGGGGCAGCCTATGCGAAAGGGAATACCACCCTGGAAAGTGATTAGCACGCGGGATGTTGTCTTCCCATTCCATGCGCCCATCCGCTCTTTTTCCCCTCTCCTTTTTTCCCATTCCCCATCCTCCAAGAGCTGGACGCTATACGATGTTTCCCAGCAGAGGCTGTAGCCGCCTTGTTTCAAGTCTGAACATTCGTGCCCTTCGCCTCTTTGGCCGTACTTTTCTCTTGAAGGCCCCAGTGTTCGGCACCACGTTATTCTATTATGGAGGGATGGTAGGCCAGAGTGTTCCACGACTCTTGTGTGTGGCAGCCTTACCCGTCCAGCCGTGGCGACGAGAATTCCGAGAAGTGCTCGATAACCTCCGAAACGACATCGTTGTCCTGTCCCTCCTCGTCACCGTGCTGCTCCCTCCTATCCCTTACCACTTCGCCATCCCCTTCCGTTCTCGCCACCCTGCGCTCCTACCCTCCTCCCTGCCATGTGGCTGTCGCTGCTGTCGCTGCTGTCGCTGCCACCCCGCGCGCGGGGGGCACCTGAGTCTAGGGCCTAGTTTTTTAGGCGGTTAGGCGTCGTTCCGTGGGCCTCTCGTCCTTGTCCGTCGTCCTCCTCATTCCCATCATGCCCTCGTCACTTCCGCACCCATCCTCTCGTCATCACCTCGTTCTCGTTTCTTCCCACTCCTCTTCCCACCCCGCCCACTCCCTCCCCCCGCTCCGCACTCGTCACTCTCTCACTTATTCTTCTCATCATGGCCATCCTCGCGTCCTCCCCATCGGTAATCATTCGCCTTCGCAACGCCCCACTGCCGTCGCCGCCGTCGTCGCGTCGTCCACCGCCGATCCGCCGACCGTTGCCACTGCACTGCTGCGCCGCTGACCGAGAGCGCGCATGTGCACAAGTCATGTGCGCGTCGCTTGCTCCCGCGCGCGTAGCGGTTTGAGTAAATTTGGAGCCCATGCCAAGAAACACGCTGATTGCCGCCAGGTCTTCCTGTGTTTCGATGGTTTTGCTTTGGGAGTCGTGACGTTCCCACACCAACAACCAATGGGTGTCCTGGGGTCTGCGGGTTGGGTTTTTTGTGGAAGGTTTCTTCTGGACTGGCCTCCACTGTATCAGGTGTGTACAACGATGGTGTGCTCGAGATTGTTCTGAGCGGTTGGCGCGGGGACGATGGAAGAGACGACTCGGGGAATGCCGATGTCGACGGCAAGGGTCGCAGATCGGGGGCGCCCGCCTCCCCCAAAACATCCGTCCCTCCCTCCCTCCTCCCCCTCCCCCTCCTCCTCCTCCTCCTTCTCCTCCTCCTCCTTCTCCTTGAGCGACATTCGTCCTCCTCCTTTCCGCAGCTTCTGGGCTTGAGCGACATCCCTGCTCCTCGCCCCCGCCCCCCCCGCCGTCGCCGTCGCCGTTGCCGTCGCCGTCGCCGTTGCCGTCGTCGTCGTTTTCGTCGTCGTCGCCGTCGTCGCCGTCGTCGTCGTCGTCGTCGTCGTTTTCGTCGTCGTTTTCGTCGTCGTTTTCTTCGTCGTTTTCGTCGTTTTCGTCGTCGTCGTCGTCGTCGTCGTCGTCGTCGTCGTCGTCCGACGAGGGTGCCGAAGTCGAGGCGGCCAGTGTTTCGTTTGGACAGCTCCTGTCGCTGTGGGGCACGCCCAGCCCTCCAGCCAGTGCTGGAATGAGCACCGTGCCAGCACGTCTGAGGCACCGAGGATAGTCTCTCATGGCAGCGGGCTCCAGAGATTCTCAGGAGGGGGAAAAACACACAGACACAATTAATCGTCGATTCCCCAGAAAATATGGGAAAATATGGGAAGTGTGGGGGAAGACGAAAACCCCAAAAATATAGGAAAATATGGGACATCTTTTTATTTGTGTGTATTTATTTGTGTGTCCTGGGGCCCCTTTAGATTCGTGCTGTAGACTGTCCGGGACGCCAAACTTGTGTGTTGGCACGCAGTCGCCGTTCTTGATATCATAGACCCCCTCGCTGATGAAAAAAGTCGTCGTCGTCGTTGTTGCCGCCGTCGTCGTCGTGGTCGGCGTCTTCGTCGTCGTCGTCGTCGTCGTCGTCGTGGTCGTGGTCGTGGTCGTGGTTGTGGTTGTCTTCGTCGTCGACGTGGTGGTGGTTGTCGGTGCGCCTCGAGGCGCCTGGCAAGACACTCGTGGTGGGCGCCTCCTACATCGCTCTCGAGTGCGCCGGCTTCCTGGCCGCCTTCGGCGCGCCACCGCAGTGGATCGTCGTCGTCGTGGTCGTCGTGGTCGTCATGGCCGTCATCAGCGTCGTCAACGTCGTCGTCGACGACGTCGACGTCGTCGTGGTCGTCGTCGTCGTCGTTGTCGTCGTCGTCGGCGGCGTCGTCGGCGTCGTCGGCGTCGTCGTCGTCGTCGTTGTCGTGGTCGTGGTCGTCGTCGTCGTCGTGTCGACGGCGTCGGACGTTGCAGCTGTCTCCGTGGTTAGAAGTTGCAGTTGGGAGGAGGGGCAGGGGCAAGAGGAGGAGGAGGAGAGGAGGAGGAGGAGGAAAAGGAGGAGGACAAAGAGGAGCAAGAGGAGGAGGGTAATGTAGGGGAGGAGCAGAAGAAGGAGGAGGAGCTTGATGAGGAAATGGATGAGGAGGAGGAGGAGGACCGCAATGCAGGAGGACATGGAGAAGCATGGAGACGGAGGAGGAAGAAGAGCAGGAGGACATTCAGGAGGAGAAGGAGGAGAGGGAGGAGGAGGAGGAAGAGGAAGAGGAGAAGGGGTTTGAACATAGCCGTGGGACTAGGTAAGGATGCTATCCGATACGCTTGGGACCGTTTTGCACGTTTGTCCGATACCATTGGTATGTGGTTCAGGTACGGTTTTCCTCCTGGGAAAAAACGCTCCTGCCATCCCACCATATTTTCATGGTAGCCGAGCACGTGCTCGCCCCACGTGTTCCAGTGCGCGTGGTTGAGTCCGCAAAGCAGTTGTCTCCATGCGATGGCCGCGGCGGCGCCCGCAGCAGCCCCGCCGAACTCGGGGACGGCTGACCCGGGCTTTCATGCGACGTTAACCCGAGGTCCGAGAGAGCTGGTGCACCCTGAGCACGATCCGGTTTGCGGAGCTGTGCAACGCCGTTCACGAGAATGGAGTGCTCATGTACGCTACCACCGCTCTCGCAGCCAACCGCGGAGGCATGAGGCTGTTCTTCGAGCGCAGCGCCACACCTGGGTTCCAGGACGGTGGACAAGGATGAGGCTTTTCATGTTGTTACATATGAGCTACACAATGAATGCCTTTCTGATATCGGCCATCAGCGGCAACGTGTACTGCGAGGGACTGTTCAGCAGCTCAGAGGAGCACGTTTGGACATAACTCCAACGTCAGCGTCAAGCGAGCGCTTCGGAGCGTGTCGCCGAGATCGCCGAAGCGATACAGTCCGCTGGAAACACGGGGGCCGGAAGAGGTGGAAACAAACCCGTCGGCGAGTGCAAGGCCGTCCGACAAGCAAAGACGTTCTAGGGTGACAGAGTCAAGTTCAGGGAATGGAGCGAGAAGTTACTTAACGCGCATGCCCAAGTGAAGCATGGTTGTCGGAAAGTCCTGAAACATGTGACCAAAAAAGATGGAGCGCTTTTTGATGAAGGCAGGCACATTCAAAAACAAGAAGCGGGATGTTAACCTTGAGCGAAGTCACCAAAGCGCCAATCATCAAGAGCGAAGAACACGCCAGAAGAAATTACGAGCTCGACTACGAGGGTTGCGCGAAGTTGGACGAGGATATCAAAGTTGGAAGGAACGGAGCCACGGGGATACCTCAAGGGTATGCACGAGGGAGATGGCTTGATGACGCAACATAATATACACACATATATATATGGTACTCGGCCGTTACCGGAGGCACACTGTCGCGCGTCACGAACCTTGCCATGAGCCCAGATATGCCCATCAAGGTCAGCGACGTGGCGGCGCAGTGGGAACAGAGGAGGAAGAAAAGGAGGAGGAGGAGGAGGAGGAGGAGGAGGAGGAGGAGGAGGAGGAGGAGGAGGAGGAGGAGGAGGAGAGGGAGGACGACGACGGAACAGTAATGACGGACGGGATGAGGTCGCTGGAGGGTGCCACGCGTTGGCGCGGGTCGCACGCGCGCCAGGCTTCGACACCACGGTGATGGTGAGGTCTATCCTGTTGCGCGGGTTCGACAAGCAGTGCGCCGACATGATCGGTGAGTTCATGGACGGCGTGGCCGGGGGGGGTCTCCTTTGGTCTCTTCTTCCCTCTCCCCCTCCCTTCGTCCGCCGCCTCGTCTGTCGCTCTCACGCCAGGCAGTCTTGAAGCCGGTCGACCGAGTACTGTCGCCGCCGCTCTCTTTGTGCCGCCTTTCCTTTCTGTTGCACGCGCACTCCCTTAGCCCGCCGGGACGACTGGTGACAATTGGCTGTGGAGTGGAAGCGCGCCCGCTGACAACAGCATCCTCCTTTCATCAGCCGCCACCGCCTTCTTATTCGTGCTTCCTCGTCGCGCCGCCAGACATGCTTCTATGGCGGGCTGGGCGTTTCGCGTCAGATGTCGTCGCAGTTTGTGCTCCTGGAGCTTGAAACTCTTAGCAGTTTTCAACATTCGCCGTACGCGCGCGTTCGTCTTGCACGTGTCCAGCATTTCACATTGATAGGTGGCGGGAATGTATCAAATGTGACTCTCGCCCCAGCGCCGCGCGCATTAGTCGCAGTCGTTTCCGCTCGTTCTACCCATGGGGGTGTTTTTTTTCCATATGGACATCGATTTCGTGAGCTTGAGTTTTTTTTTCATCGTTTTCATTCTATGCACGGATGGACCACGTTTACTGTTCTATGTGGCTCCTCAATTGAATTATTGTCAAATCGTGCCACCGTAACGTTAAGATAGAATACCTGGCGACGCTGGCAGCTCTTTTTCAGGTGTAACTCCACATGAGCAAGTTGTGCTGTTGGCGTCTCGAGCGGAATGCGTGGCCAGTCCGTGCCAGATGGGGGCCTCGCAGCTTCTCTGCGTGAGCTTTCTGCGTGGATGGGAGCTCCTCGGGCGCTGGGGAGATTGCGCGAGGATGTCGAGGGCGACCCTGTGACCGGGCTTGGGATATAAGATGGGCTGAGCAGTTGGGGTGCGTCCGCGTGGTGTTACCGATCATGAGGCGGAGAAGTGGAGACACTTGTGGGCCCCCGCGGCGGACGATGGCGAAGTGCTGCTCGAGTGCTTCCGCGGAGCACGGGGGCGGGCACAATGCGAACCATTGCCGCCCATCGCTTCTCTTTGTGTTCGTGAGGCAGCGCGAGCGATGAGACCCGGCGCGGGGATGGGGGTGGACAGGCTCTCTCTTGTGGACATAGACTGCCGCTCCCAGGCCTGGGTGAGCTTGCAGAGTTGTGTGATTATCGAATCGGCAGCTGCGCGGCCTCAGGTTCTCCCGGTGCCAGGCAAACTGCTGGCTAAAACGAGCGATGGGGATCGAGCGATCGGACTCTTCGCGATGTTCTGCCGAATTTGGAGTCTCGTGCGAGAGCCCTTGGTGGCGCGGTGACATTTGGAGACAGGTGCTTTCTTGGGCGCTGCTGTCAAGGGCAACGCAGCGCTGCGGGTGGCATATGTGAGAGTTTCTGAGCAGGAGTCAGGACAGGCCTTAGGTATTTCGGATTGTCATGGGTTGTCGGGCGTCGCGGGTTTTTTTTGATTCAAGCAAGTGGAAGTATCAGTATCTTGTACCCGGGGCTCTTGCCATCGGATTTTTTGCTGTTATCTTATGTCCAGAAGTGTCGCAATGCATGGCCAGTAGAACGGCGGGGTAGAATGGGTCCTGGTGCGATATGAATTGCCGCGCTCAGTCCGTAGTTCAAGGCTTGGCGGGAGGCGCCTGGTTCGCCAAGATCATGGCGTGCTTCGCTCTCCAGCAGGTGTGTGCCGCACGCCCAGCCATGAGCCGCAGGATCCGGATCGACGATCTTCCCAACGAGTAGTGGGTTCACGCAAAGCAGTCATGTCTGACCTCATTCAGAGGGTCACGGAAGGTTGAGCTCACAGTTCCCAAAACAGGTAGCGTGCCTTGTTCGCACAGTTCTGATGCACAGACGGTGGCGCGTGCGTTTCGACGGCATGGCCTTATGGTGCGAGCAGATGAGGCAGCGGTGTACTTGGGGCGTGATCTTGGCAGCGGTTGTTCTCGCGCGCGGGGGGCGCGTGTTCTGCGAGACGGGCCCAGCGCGCGTGCGCGCGTCGGAGGATTCGGAGGTTTCCCAGCAGAGGTGCCAGAGCTCGAGTGACGTCTCAACTCGAGCGGATGGGTTCCCAAGCAGCTGGGTCATGCGCATGTCAGGTTCGCTGAGTATTTGGAGCTCAGATGGTCGTGTGCCGCAGGCGACTTGCAGCAGTATTTGGAGCCATGGGCCGAGGCAGATGTTTGACCGCGGCCATCGCTCTCAAGGCACACTCGGACAGTGATCCAGCTATCCGCATGCCATCATAGTGTCTTCTATGGTGTGAGGTTTGGCGCGAGGAACCGCGGCTGACATCGAGCATGTTAATGGCACTGACGCCCATAGGGAATCATATGCGTGAGTTGGAGCCTGCAGTTCGATCCAACTGTGTCAAAGGACCGATTTCAGCCACTATCACGTTGTTGATCAATCGCGGTTGGGACCCCAAGTCTGCGACCTGCTGGGCCACGCCAATCAGTGCGACGGGTGAAGAAGTGGAGCGGCGACTCCCTGATAACGCATGGACAGGCAGTGCTGCAGTCGACGGTCCCGAGGGGTTGCTTCGCGAATTCCAGTGCGCTATCCCTTCCGAGCGCAGGGGGGCCGGCGCAGGGGCGGTCGCGTCAGCCTCGCGTCGGCTCTGCGCTCAGCTGCCGGCAACTCCCGGGGGACATCGTGTGGCCGAGACGCCGCGTGCGGTCCCTATCGGGGGGGGCGGGGCTGGCCGCGTGCCCGCCGAGTGGGCGCCGCGGGCGCTGAGGCCCTCGGGCCGGGCCGCTGCTGTCCACGGTGCGGGGAGGTAGCTGAGGGCATGTTTCGTCGAGGGTGGGGCTTGCGAGAAGAATGTCGACGCGGCAGCCTGCGCCAAGTCGGCAGGTCTCCTGCCCTGGGCCCACTCGCGATGGGAGGGTGAAGAGTGCAAGTGGCTCCGAGGGATGATGCCGGCCCCTCGGGCGAGGGCGCCGCCTGTGGAGGTCGAACCTGGGTGGTGTGTCGCAGGCGTCCCAGCTGATAGCGCGTGCATCCGCTTCGGCGAACGCTGCTGGAGCGCGCCGCTCTGGTTCTGCGGCGACGCGAGCGGCGGGCCCGAGTCAGCGGGTTCGCTGTCGACGGACCGGCCTCGCAGTGGCCAGTGCCCAGTGCAGAGCGTGCCTCGGGGTGAGCTCATGGCCCTCCTCGTTGCAGCGCGTGGCTCGCGCGGGGGCGTCGTAGATGTGACGGACAGTGCGACGGCGGCAGGCCGGTGGAGCACGCAGAGGCAGCTGGCTCCCGCGGTGCACGCGGATCTGTGGGAGGAGGCGGGGAGCGTCTGTTCGACCGGGGGCCGCCGCTCTCTCGCCGTCTTCTTCGTCGGCCCAAGTGGTCTCGTCGAAGACGCCCTGCAACCTCGCTGTTGGGAACGCCGTTGCGGACATCTTGGCGGGTGCAGCTGCTGAAAAGGCGTCGGGCCCCCGAGACGAGCCGAGGCGAAATCGGCAGGATCGAGAGGGAAGTGTAATTCATACGTGTATGATTAATTCGAGCGACCATCGACGCGGGCCCCAGGGTTCTTGGGCCACCTTTTCCTCCTCCTCCTCCTCTGCCTAGCCCTTGGGTTCGAGGGTCTCAGGACTGCGGGCCAGAGGCGCGCGAATTCAATGCCTCCAGGCGCCCGCGGCCGCGCGGCCGCTGCGAGATGATGGGGCGCCGCCGACCATGTCGAGGTTAGGGGTGCTCGGATGGAACCCCATGTGGGGCACTGGATGCCGACTCCAGGAGATTGCCGCCTGCGCGAAGAACATGGATTTCACACTGCTGGCGGGTACCCAGAACGTGTGCAGGGAGTCGGAACAGGTGCTTCAACGTAAGGTGGAGGGAAGAGTTGTTCTTGAGGCAACAGTATCATCAGGTTTGTACACTAATCGTAGTGCAGGCGTGTCCATTCTACTAGGCCGAGAGTTTCGAAGCCATCATGTACGTCGGGTGTTCTCCAGCCCGCCTCAGCTCTGGGGTCGTTGTCTCGCCGCTCGTATTCGACACAACATCGTGGACGTATGTGTTGGGATCCTCTACTTTCCTCCTCGACCTCGAGGGAAAGGGGCGGGGCCGAAGTACGCGCAGACGGTTGCCAGAATGACCCAGTGGTGGAGAGAATGCCTCGACCAACTCCCAGCGCGCTGCTTGCCCATTTTCTCTGCTGATTTGAACGATGGGCTTGGCTGTCGTCGCATCGAGGGGAAGTGGGGGGAGTACGACAGCAGTGCGGTGGGTCAGACACGTACGAGGGAGAGGCGGAGGCAGGGAGCAGGAGAGTCAGTGGCACATCTGTTAGAGCAGCACCATATGCTTGCGGCGAATACTCTGGGCCCTCTCGATCCAACTTTTAACAGTGACGGACCTGGAGGGCCCTCGAGCTTGATTGACTTCCTGTTTATCCCGCAGGGGTGGGGCACTCGCTTGGCTCGATGTCATACTTTACGAAGGATTGGCGCGCAACTACAAGCCCAGAGCGGGCGCCCCCCCCGTGATCATGTCCCCCTATACCTGGAACTACATCATCCTAAAGGACCCCAGGAATGTGTCCCTGTCCAACGGGCCCGCTGGAATACTTCTTCTCTTATGCTTGCCGTCCGCTCTGGATCCCAGCGTATCGCCTTTGTGGAGGGGATGGAGCAGTGGATGCGGGAACGGGAGGAGGATAGGATACGGGTTCATGATCAGGATGCTCCAGACCACTGTTTTGAATTTCTAGAACAGGGATTGGTGGAGGTGGGGTCGGAACTATTTTGCGAAGATGCGGACATGCCGCGCGATTATTCTCATTGGGCCGCATTGCGCCGTGAGCTTTTGAAGAAGCGCATTGAGATGCGCGCTTCTCGCATGCAAGCCACGGCTTTACCAGCTGTCGAAGAGGAGCTGCGAGATGTATCGCAGAGGATGCGTTTACTTAGACAACGTCACATGAGGGCGGAGAGGGTTTCTTTTGTTCAGGCTTCCAGTGAGGCATGGGCTAGAAGGAATATCTCGGAG